AGGCTAAGGGAGGTGTGTGATCAGGAGGCTTTGGTGTCAGAAAGTCAAGGACCAAACAAATGACTCAGTGTTTCTGATTTGCATTTCCTTGATGGCTAAAAATGTTAAACATCTTTTTATGTGCTTATTGGCCATTTCTGTATTTTCTTTGGAGAAATATCTATTCAAACTCTTTGCCCATTTTTAAATTAAGCTGTTTGTCTTTTTATCGCTGTTATAAGAGTTCTTTATATATTCTGGATACAAGTTCCTTATCAGATCTATGATTTGCAATTTTTTTTCCCATTTCATGGTTGTCTTTTCACTTTCTTTATGGTGTCTTTTTTTTTTTTTTTTTGAGGAAGATCAGCCCTGAGCTAACATCCGTGCTAATCCTCCTCTTTTTGCTGAGGAAGACCGGCTCTGAGCTAACATCTATTGCCAATCCTCCTCCTTTTTTTCCCCAAAGCCCCAGTGGATAGTTGTATGTCATAGTTGCACATCTTTCTAGTTGCTGTATGTGGGACGCGGCCTCAGCATGGCTGGAGATGCGGTGCATTGGTGTGCGCCCGGGATCCAAACCCGGGCTGCCAGTAGTGGAGCACACGCACTTAACCACTAAGCCATGGGGCCAGCCCTATGGTGTCTTTTAAAGCACAAAAGTTTTTAATTTTGATGATGTCCAATTAACGTATTTTATCTGCCTTCCCCCTTTTCTAGCCAAACCATTGTCTAATCTAAGGTCATGAACATTTATGCCTATGTTTGCTTCTAAGGGTTTATAGTTTTAGCTCTAGATTTAGGTCAGTGATTCATTTTGGGTTAATTTTTGTATATGGTGTGAGGAAGGGGTCCAACTTCATGCTTTTGCATGTGGATCTCCAGTTGTCCCAGCACCATTTGCTGGAGAGATGACTCAGTGTCTGAGTCTCAGTCGCCTCATCTCTAAAATGAGCTTTAAAAGACCACCTTGCAGAGTATTGTGAGCATTCGATGAGCTAGAGAGAAAAACTGACGCACGGCAGGGGTCCCTGGCACGTGGCAGACAGTTAATGCCTCTATCTGAAGAAACGGACAATGGATTTGAAAGTGCTCTGAAACACTGGTCATCATTACTACAATTGGACCACAGCTTTTCCATCCCTAGAGGTCTTTAGCATCCATGGCCCCTCTGCTTGTCACAGATCCTGTACCATCCTCAGAACACTGGTTTCCAAACCCTCTCCCAGGAACCCCTTTTCTAAGTGGCCCTGATGATCTTTTTCTTCTCCTCTTCTCTTTTTTCTCTCTTACTTTGTACCTTGAGTTTTGCATTAAATGCTCTTGGTACTAATTCATTAATTAAAAATGGTTAACTCACTCAAGTGTTTTTTTGGCAAGTTGATGGGAAGGCATGGATGAACGAGCGAGTCGATCAAGCAAAAGGCCCCTAATTTAAAGTCAGAAAAGCGAAGCCCCTGGAGCTCCAGTGATTGCACAGGCCGCCCCACAGGTAGCGCTCCTACACTCCCCACTCCCCCTCCCACCCGGGAGAGAGCCTTTTAAATCACATCTCCCTCCTCCGTGGTGTTTGCAACACCTCCCGATTTAGTTTTCTCTCTGAATTTCATTAGTGTCCCATTTGCCTCTTCTTCCTGATCTCCGAGGCAGGCGTTAAGCAGGAGGAGACTGAGTTGGCAACAAGGGCTCCTGCCTCTGACTGGGGACACACAGAGGAGGACTGGGGCCCTGGGCTGCAGTTCTGATGATGCTCTGTCCATCGGGCTCAGGCCAGCAGACAGTGACTTGACCCTAACTCTTGCCAGGCACTGGGGCTCAGAGATGAGGAGCTGTGCTTGCGGTGGACACCCCCAGGCTCCCGGGATGATGGATGATGCCTATGTGATGTGCTCAGCACCTTTACACTCCTGGGCAGGCAGAGTGAGTGAGAAAGAATGAGGGAGTGAGTGGGGGGACATTCCAGGAAGAGGAAACAGCATGTGTAAGGGCAGGATGGTATGAACAGTAGAGCATAACAAGTAGCAATATGGAATCTGGTGTTCAGTAATTTGTTTGCTCATTTGTTCATTCAATATACATATTAACTGAAGGCCTGCCACATGCCAGGCAGTGTTCCAGGCGTAAGAATACTGCAGGAACAACACAAATTAAGTCCCTGCCCTCGTGGAGCTTACATTCCAATGGGGAACACAGGAAATAGACAGTTAAACTTGCAGACTAATATTTAATGTCAGGTGGAGGTAAATGCTATGTAGAGACATTCAAATGGAAGGGGGGCACAGGAAGACCTGGATGGGAGGATTGCTCCTTGTATGGGGTGGGCAGGGCAGGCCTCCCCCGTCAGCTCCTCTACGCCCGCCTTGCTCACACCGCTGGCCTCCTGCCACTTCTTGAGCAGCAAACACACTCGTGTTCAGGATGCTTCAGCCTACTCCGTGCTCTGCTCCCGTGGATGCTGACCTGGAGATCTGTTCACTGATGTCCCTCTCCCTGAATCGCTTTCCCCAAGACTGGAAAAAGGCTTCTATGCCTTTGCTCTGAGGCGGGAGTGTGTTTACAGTTCAAGGAACAACAAAGAGGCCAATGGCATGAGTGAGGGGTGCACAGAGAGACAGGGTCAGAGAGGAAATGGGCCAGCTCCCGTAAGTCCTGGAGGGTCACGGCGAGGCCTTTGGCTTTTCTGTTACGTGAAATGGGGAGCCACGGGAGGGCATTGAGCAGAGGAGTGATCTGATCTGACTGATGTTTTAACAGATGACTTTGTGCCAGACCCTGGGAGGGAAGGATGGTAGCAGAGCCCCATGAGGCCACCGCAATAATCCTGATCTGAGATGGTAGGTTGGACCAGAGTGGGGACAGAGGAGGTGATCACACATGCTGAGGAGTGGAGAAAAGTGAGGGGGTCATTGTAAATATAGCACAGTGTGAAAGGAAAGGGAAGGGGGGATGAGGCTGGAGAGAAAAGGAGGAATATTCCAGACAGAAGGTGCCAAGGCTCCGATTCAACCCCCTCCTGCCAGACTCAGATCCTGCTACTTACATTTCCACAATTTCTTCTTTCCTTCAATGCAGATGAGTTCAACAAGCCTTGCTCTGGGCCTACCCATCTGAGCAGCACCAACGTGGGGATGAGCAACCCAGTCTCTGGGCTCCAAGAGGCTCCCTCTGTCGGAGCTGAAAGCTGCATTCACATCTGACACCCACAGGATGTTAGGGGAATCAGGGAGGGAGAGGCCCAGGATGGGGCATTTAGAGGAGAAAGAGGAGACCACATTTCTTGGGTTTAGATGGAGTGGGGGATAAGATTCGATTTTTTATTTTAACTTTCATGTCATCATTACAAGTGAGTGTGGATGGGGTTGAAGAGTTCACCTTCAGCCTAGTTATCTCCCTTGCTGAGTGAACCTCAATTTTATTATCTTAAACATGAAATTGTAAGAACTACCTCCTGGGATTGTGGGAGTTAAATGAGATGCATAAATCAAGAACTTGGCACAATGCCTCAGTAAATGTGACCCCATTTTGCCTGTCCCTCTATATGAAAAGCTAAAAATCTTAACAGATCTTCTCAGAGAACCATATGTCCCTACTGCCGAGCATTTATCTCAGTTTGTAGTTATACATTCTTCAGGCTGAGAGCAGAGGCTACCTTCGTACCTTCGTTTTTGTTCCTTGTTTCATCCCCAGAGCCTAGCCTGGTGCTGGGCCTGTTGTAAGTATTCAATACGTTTTTCTTGAATAGCTAAATAAATGATTGAATCAGAGGTTATATAAGATCTAGACGCCAGTGCTTTTTAGCTGAGAGACCTCAGAAAAGATAGTTCATTTCTCTGAGCCTCAGTTTCCTTACCTGTAAATTAAAAATAATAATATCTACTGTGCCAGAGGCAGCTACTGTTCATCAAATAGCCATGTCTTTTCCACACTTCCCAGAGCCCTAGAAATCAGGCAGGACCTTGTGACTATTCTGGCCATGGGCTGTGTGTCACTTCTGGACCAAAGCATTTAAGAGCCAGTGCTCAACCTTCCGGCCATCTCTTCCCTTGCTACAGAGACCAAGGTGGTACACCTAAAATATGGCAGAACTTTCACCAGCCTGGCCCCTGAGTCATGGTAGAGCAGAGCCCTCCACCTACCTTGGTTAGACATGTAGCATGAGCTAGAAATAAACCTTTGCAGTGTTAAGCCACTGAGATTCTGGAGTTAATTTATTAGTGCAGCATAACTGAGCCTAGCAGGACTCAGACTTCTACCTTGCAAGATTGCTCGGAGGATAAGAAGCAGTGCTAGGTTCATAGTAGGTTTGCAGTAAAGGGCTCGCTCCCTGGGCCCTGGATCCTTCTGCTTCTTCAGCCTTCCTCACCATGACCCAGCTTCCATTACAATTTCTCTGTGCCGTGTTCCTTCTCTAGCTTGAAGCATCCTTCCACTTTTCCCACCCAACCCAGGTATGTCCTTCTGTTTTTGTCATTGCTCTTCTGCATAGAAGAGCGGCCAGAGAGCCATTCTGGCCAGCTGGACCTGGCCTCCAGACCACCTGTCCTCTGGGCAGCGACCCACTCACCTCCTCCCGCCCCATTCTCAACTATGCCTCTGATCCCATTCCAGCTCAGCTTGAAATGTAACCGCTGAACTCTGGACACTGCCCCTGGTCTCCCGGATCCTAGAATGACCCTGATCATCACTGGTGCCTCTGTGGTCTTGGACATGCATGCTGTTTCCTGGCTGCCAGCTCCCCCATCACATCCCAGCTGATGCCTGGCCCTGGCCTTCCCTGCCCTGCCCTCCCGCCATGCTGGCTGTCAGCTTGGCTTCCAGCACCCACCAGTCCTCCCACTGCATCTGCTTCCCAAGAAGGCTACCTCCACTCCGGCCTGACCTCCTCCACTTCTGCTGCTTAGTGGCAAAAACCTTCAACCAAAAAAGTATGCATGTTTTCAGATTCCAGGATGGTATTTCTCATCAAGAACACAGGTTTGCAGTTGATGACGCAGAAAATCAGGGCGGACAAGAGGACTGACCTGGCTCCATGTCAGCATGTTCTGAAGAGTCAGCAGTGTCCGTGGGCCCTGCAGCCCTCTCTCCAGGGCCATCAGATCCTGGAGGACAGGTCGGGATCCTTTCTGTTGAAGCAGAGAGCAGAGACCCAACTGAGCGAGGTGGCAGGATACCCCACACCCTTTGTCACAGATCTCTCCCCAGCAGTCTGTGCAAACACACGCCAGTGGGGAGATGGGGCTTATTCCTGGTCCCACAGCACTGAAGAGAAGCAAGTGGAGTCCCAAATACGCTGATGCACACCAATGCACTTCCTCTATGCAGCCTTCCTGGGAGGCTCAGGTGCGCCATTCTCGGTTCTCCCATCTCATCTTGTGCGGCGGGAGTAACGGGCTTGTGTGGCAGCCATTGTTTACATGCATTTCTTCAAGCTGACCAAACCCCTCTAGAGCAGGGTCTGCAGATCAGTCCCCTTTACAACTCAGGTGCCCAGCGTGGGCTTGGAGCACAGTAGAAACTGAGTGTTTCGATAAGAAGGATTGACTATGTGCTGTGATGGGGGCAGCAAGAAGGGGGTGGGGGATGGAGCATGTGGCTGAGGCATTGGCCTCTGCAACAGCTCTATCATTGATTCACCAGGCAAATAAACACATGACTTAACCTCTTTGAGCCTTAGTGTCTTGCCCTGTAAACGGGCCCATCTTCCCTGTGATATACCATGTGGGGGTGTTGGGAGTCACCTGGGCAGAGTTCCTTGTACAAGCGTGCTGGCTCTGGCCCACTTGCCTACCGCCCTGCAACTCTTTGAGCCTCTGTTTCCTCATTTGAAAGAGGAAAACTGAACTGGGTGACATGTGAGGTCTTTTCTGCCCCTAGAATTTTGTCTTTGCATCTCCAGTGCCGGAGGAGATATCTGTACCCAATAAAGGTGAAATGAATAAAAGAAATCCTATCTCAAAAGAAGAGGAAGGGGAGGCTCAAAGGTTTTAAGTCATTTGCCTTAGTTCACTGCAAGAGGAGGAATGGAGATTTGAACACAGGTCCTCACAGACTCAAGATCTGTGTACTTTACCCTGCACCAGAAGCACCAGCTACCACACTCACTCACTGAAAATACCACAAAACGCCTTTTTATATAAAAGACCCACAAGGCTAAAGAACAAGGTGTGAAGGATACATTTAGGCATCTGAGGTAGAAGGTCATCATTTGAGAAATTCCCTGAACACATATTTGCCAAATATACCTAGGATCCAAGCTAAAGACGTTATTATCTATTACAAGGTGAGGAATTACTGGTAATTTCCATTAAAAACAAAATTCTCCTGAGTGTGAAATTTTGCCAGCTTCTTCTGCATTTCATGTGTCTTCACTGTAAATTCTCATTATTCTAAACAAACAAACAAAACTATTAGGCAAGAACATTCACCAGGCTCTGCCTAAGTACAGGGGATCCCTCCCCTCCCCTGGGGGGGTCATGCCCCGGAACACCCCCAGGGTAGAAGAGCGGATGGGCCAACAGACTTGACAAGATGAGGTTTGGAGGTAAACCTAGACAAGCCCTTATAAATCACCTATATTCACTGAAATAGAAAATGGGCAGTGTGCTACAGAGGATATGACTATCATTTTATGCATCTCAAATGAGCAATAACAGCTCTTATGCCCTTCATTTCTATTTACCATGCATTGTTCATTATAACCTTAGCCTCCAAAGTTTCAGAGAGGAGCAGGAAGTTGTTTTGCTGTAACAACGGGCAGGGGAAGAGGCACATCCACTGTGTGTGGGCCTCTCCCCACCTGCCCAGTGTCTGGTGGATTTCAGGACTCAGAGCTGTTGGCTTTGCCCCCACGGATCCTGTTGGGGTCCTAGGCACAGCCAGTGACTTGGATAAAATACTCCACGTCTTTCTCAAACCCCTCTCCTTTGTCCAGGTCATAAAATTCCACTCTGCTCCCATAGCTTCAGGCCCAAACTTATGCTTCGACCCTCACCTGTGCCTTATGGTCCTGCTCTCTGGGAGAAGCTGCAGAACTCCAGATTTACTCCTCTTCTACCTTCATCTTTGCCCAGGCTTCAGGGAAAACCTCAACTCCTTTTTTTCCATGTGTTTATTTCCTTTTCAATTTGCAACCCAGAATTCTTTCTTTTTCAAAGCACCTCCAATAAGTGTCACAATGACTGTTAATGAAACCAAAATACTCACGGGTTGACCAAAGGTTTTAGAGGTATTTATGTACCAGCATTTTCTGGAGGGGAAATCCAGTTAGGAAGGGATTATGGCATTCATTCATTCACTTTCTCACTCATTCATTCAGATGCTGAGTGTTAGCTGCTGTACAGGATGCACTGGTGACTCAGAAGCAAATCCCCTCAGGAAGCTCACAGGCTGGCAGGGAAAATAAAAAAACGTGGCTACAGGTAACTATAATGTTTGTATTATATGTAAGAGAGATACAGATAAAACCCAGTGAGAGGACAGATGATGGAGAGATCTCCTTGGCTGACAAATCAGGGAGCACTTATTGGAAAATACATCGTTTCAGCTCAGCCTTGCACCAGCGATGGTGTTAGGTGGGGTGGCACGGGCACAGGGCAGGGACACTGTATGAGGGAGTAACGGCACAGGAGGGGAAGGCATGACGAAGAATGAGCTTTCCAGGGCGTCAGCTGTGTGGAGGGAAGTGGAGGACATCATACCTGGCAGGTGATGTGGGCCCCAATAGGCAGGGTCCTGAAAGCCAGGCTAGAGAAGATGGCTGTTATTCAGTCAGTAATAGGGAGCCATCAAGGGCTTTTGAGCAGAGATGTGACATAACTGGAGATCTGCTGTAGGAAGAAGAATTTGGCAAGGCTTACACAGTATGAATTGGAAGGGGAAGTGCCCGGGAGAGGAAGCTCCTAATTGTGTGCCAGGCACCGGGCAGGGTATTAGGTACTGGTATATATTTGATCCCATTTAACCTTCTCAACAACTACAGAAGGCAAGCATTATCCTTCCAGACTTGCAGACAAGAAAAGGAGGCTTCGAGGAATTTACGCTGTTTGTCCCTAATCTCCCAGCTAGGAAGCAGTGGAGACAAGATCTGAACCCTGTTCTTTCCCTTTCCAGGCGAGCCATAAAAGCACGCTGTGACCCTGAGCATGACACCGTACTCCTGACACTCCCAGTAAACCTTCTGTGCCCAATGCACCTCCCTGCCTACTCAAGGATGGGTGGAAGCATGATCATTTCCTGGGCTGCCTTTTGAGAGGCCTGGGTGGAATTAAATGCAATGTCTTTGCTTCTTAGCTTTCCCCATTGTGACCACAAATCAAGGAGATAAGACAGTGCCTTGAGCTGGGTTCCAAACAACACGGACTGCAGTCTCTTGCAGACAGTTTCAAAGATAGCAGAAGACCACCCTCCTCCCTTGCAGGGAGGGCTTGCTTCTGTCTTTCCCTTCTCAGCTAAGCCGTGGTAACAGGAGCAGTGGGCCCCGGAGCCCAGGGGAACATCTTGTGGATGCTTGGGACGCTGCTCGGGCCACGTAGAAGGTCAATGAGGAACCCAGCGTTTCCATGCTTGGGGCTGCCTTTGCTGTTTCGGAGGATGGCCCTGAGGACCCAACGCACGCCAACTTGATCGTCACACCTGCAGCCTGGAGGTGATGATCATGAAGCACTCCCATCAAGTTGCCCGCTATTAAAACTTGGATTTTTTTCGAGAGGGAAAAAAAAAGATTTCTTCATTCTAAATACATGGCACGGTGATAGCTGTGTGGTACACCTGACAATCAGGGTGCAGGTTCTTCCAGGAAGCCGGGTGCAGTGGCAAGAGCAGGGGCTTGGAAGCCAACGGAGTGGGTCTGAATCACACCTCACCCAGTTCCCAGCCATGCGGCCTTGGGCAAAGCACTTAGCTCCCTAAGTTTCCTTATTATTAAATGGGAACGATACCAAGGCTCAGAGAGACTAAGTGCCAGACCCTTGGTACATACATAAGAATGTATAATCATTCTTCTTGTCTTTTCATGTTCAACATTCTGGGCATGGCTCTCCCGGTGAGGTTGCTCTCCTCCTCACAAAGCTACCAAATGAAGAAATGGATTTTTGGAGGAAAAATGCTGAAACAATAGCAAATGGTGAATACCCCGACCTAGCGCTTAGTACCAGTGTCTTATAATTATTTGTTGGTGTATCCTTCGCATCCACCAGACTAGGAGCTCCTTGAGGATGGTGACCGCTGTATCTTCAATTCCCAGCACACAGTTGTCCCTTTCTCCTTTAGCGACCTTATTTTGAGATCCAAACAAACCAGAGTCTGCAGTTCTCCTGGGATTTTATTTTCCCAGCCTGGTTTGAAGAGTGACTTTTAAGCAACACATTCAAGAGCACATCCCATCCTCTGAAAACCATCTCATTATCATGTAATCATTAGCACAGAACACTTCACCTTGTTACACTGCTAAAAGCTTTGGTTTCTAATCCAGGCCAATTATACGTGCCAACATATTCAATAACATCTTAATAGTGCCAGACCTCCCAGGTCTCCAACAGGATCCGACCAAGTTGAGAGATCCAGGGTCTAACCGGATGTTGGAAGGGCACACGGCAGAGGGAAAAGAAATGAAGCATTAAAACTGGATTCAAATCCTGGCTTGTGCAGTTGGGATGACTCTGCATAGTGCCTGGGGCTGGGATAGCTGCTCAGTAAAGGTTAATTCCTCCTCTTCCCCTGACTCCAGAGAAAAGCAAAGCCATAAAACCTGTTGCAAGTAAACAGGGGGAGAAGAGAAGATTCGCCACATTCCTGAGTCCATTTAGAATATGGATTTTTTTAAAGCTTTTCTCCCTAAGGACTAAAGGAAGCAGGTTATTTCATTTTAATTATGGCAGCTGCAGCTGCTGCTGTGGACTCAAAGACCAATTTTCAGATTAAAAAGAAAAAAAAAACCACACACACACACTCACCGACAGAATCAACTACATATACAGAATGACACTTCCTTCAGAGAGCACGTCAACAGGGTGGAAAAATCTGGAATGTCCTGCTTGAGACACTCAGAGCCAGCTGGAAATCCCTGGGTGTGTTGACCCCACTTTTCCTCCCACCTCGCCTCCTTTCTGCTCGCAACGTTCAA